AAGAGCATCTTCTTCCCGAGTTGCTTGATGTAACCCAACGCTCACCTTCAGTCCGGAGTCCACGAAGGAAATATCGGTCTTCGCATTCCAGGTACGTCCGGTCCCACCATCAACTGGCGCCTTGACGACTGAGGTGAAGATGATGTCCTACCGTAGCAACGTTGGCGGAGCTGCTCGATGATGGAGGTCTTCCAGATCGAAAGTACTGGTCTCCAGGTAGCTATCCATAGGTGACTCCATGCTAGAAGTTTTGCAGCTGTTTGAGGTGACATAAAGTCCAAAGGTCTTCTCCAGTCAGGCTGCGACTGGAGATGACTTCATATTTTGGTGTGAACATGAAGCTGACCTGAATACAGGGGGGGCCAAAAAAAGACATTTCGACCGAGTCACATATCAGCAAAGTTTTCGCAGCCCAGACAGAGGACGTGGATACGAGTACCAGGGCGGAAGATACCCAAGATGTTCCTCTATAAGCAGGAGCTGGCTCTCGCCCATCACCTTCATGTACACCAAAATATGAAGTCATCTCCAGTCGCAGCCTGACTGGAGAAGACCTTTGGAATTCATGTCACCTCCAAACAGCTGCGAAACTTCTAGTATGGAGTCACCCATGGATAGCTACCTGGAGACCAGTACTCTCGATCTGGAAGACCTCCATCATCGAGCAGCTCCGTCAACGTCGCTACCTCAGTCGCCAAGGCGCCAGTTGATGGTGGGGACCGGACGTACCTGGAATGGAAAGACCGATATTTTCTTCGTGGGCCCCGGACTGAAGGTGAGCGCTGGCGGTTACATCGAGCAACTCGAGAAGAATATCCTCCCCACATGTCGTCGCCCGTACCTTCTTGGAAACTTTGTACTGCTACAGGATTGGGTGACACCACATGGAATCAAAGGGCGTTGGGAAAACTGCGGGGTGGCCGACTCCTTATCACAAGCGAGCGCCGCTGTTCTCCCGAATTTTGAGTTGCGAAACTAGTACGTCCACCATCCTCATAGGGTGGGCTACGATTTCCAGAGAGGGCGTGGGAACAACAAGTGAACGTGGGCGTTGCCTTTAATATGCTCTTCAATAGGTGGTAGAAATGTCCGATAAGAATTTAATAAAGTGTAACTTATAGCGCCTCGAAAGTCAAGGAAGAAAAAAGTTTTTTTTGCCCCCCCCCCTGTATAGACGACAAGGTGGTGAGCAGTTCAACAGTGGAAAAAGCGAAGAAACATAATGAATCCCGCCCTACATACAACTTCTCGACCCCCCTTTCGATCTCAGTTGTCTGCATCAGTTGCTCTATCTCCAACAAGAACGCCCCCGATCGCAAACTGGATTCCCGTTTAAAGGACTCCGTCCATACCAGTGACGATTTTCATGCTTTTTCGTCCTCAGTGCTTTGCTTTTCACTCGAAAGGCCGGGATCTGAAGCGAAGTCATGGAAAAAAGGAGGCCCTGAACCATGCTGGCGCTTTAGCGCCCCTCCCTCCCTCGCAATTTTTTGCCGCGAAAGCGGTACAAGGTTGTTCGTGACGGGCCACACTACTCCTTCCGATGCCATTTTTCAACTTCTGTACCTGACCGCGGACCGTGCCTTTGACGACCCACAGCCTCACATTTGCACCGCTTCCTCCGAAAGCCGGACACGTGTGGCAGAAACGCTTACCCAATAGGACGCTGAAGGCGCTCTGACTTGAAAGGGCATTCTGTGACCATTCTGCAATACCGGAATGGTTTCTTGATCCTTTTCATTCACGCTTGAGATGCTCTGAAGTGACAGGCTCTTTTCAGGGCAAGCAATAAAACTTGTTGCTTATATATCATAAAGGTGGAGAGGGCGTGGTTGCTTACTTCATCTGAACATGGCTGAGGCTGCGTTCTTGCATTGATATAGTCGTTTTGAAGAATTCACGAAATCATGATCTAGACTAAGTCAGGATGACAGTTGTATCAGATGGAGATAGAGGTGATCAGTCTATCACCCGTTAATCAATAGTTTTTTGGATGCGGCACGCATTCTACTTATACATGAGACGCTTAGCGGCTTGTTGAATGCGACTTGCGACTCGTTAGAACGACTTGGCGGGGCAAGCTGTATGTAGCAACATCAGTGTTTCTCGCATCCACCCAGACTGAATCTCAATTACCAATGCTAAGTTTTCTCGGAGGGCGCAGGCTGGTTGGCCTGGGCGCGGTCTATCGGGGATTTGAAACCGCGGGCTGCGCGAGTGGTTAGCATGCCACTTGCCACTCCAACACCTCCGCCCCCGGAATGGAGATATCCTACGAAGACTGCATCTCTCGTCGTGATTAAATGAGGTACGTGACGGTGCCTCTCAATTCCAGAACATGGGCTACGGAGTTGAGCATATTCGCTGGTTTGGCAGTCCTTTTGGGTCTCACATGAACTTCAGTATGCTTTCGGGGCATTGTTAGAGTTGAAACATTAGGTCACTAGAACCGCTTAACCCTTTACGGACCGCCCTTACACGGGACCTCACCATTTCATCTTTTTTCAACTACTCAATAGAAGTCAAGTCCATAATTTCACTGGTTGAGAAAAACCTTCCTTCGGATTCCAAAACGTACTTTCTCAACTTTAAGAATCAAAAATTCTCTTAGAAACGTGTATGCGGTCCGCAATGAGTCAAAGGCAAACTGACCTCACGCTCACCCAACTGAATTCTTGCCATGTGTGAGGTGAAAGGGTCCGCAGCTGCACCAGTGTGTCACATGCTCTAGTCAAAGGAGCAGTGGAACAGGATCAAAGGTTAGCGATACCCAGGTACGGTCTTCATACTCCGTCCGCGCTATCGCACTGTCAGCCACACGCCTAACAACAGCCAGACGTGCTGCCCGTCTGCGCCCTCTCACTTATAGTCGTTCTCTACAGTGGGTGCGTGTTTCGCTGCTAGATTTTGGTATCGGCGCGAACTGCACTTTGAAGATAGGGCGAGTGCAGTCCGTGTCGCAATCTTCCTGCCCCGTCGTTGTGCACTGCTGAGAGTACAAAATAACTCGCTTCTGCAGTTCCAGACCCATTCACCTGGCTCATGGAAAGAACCGCCCTGGAGATTAGTGTACAGTTTGTTTTCAAAAAACTTGTTCAGCTGCTCTGTTATGGCTAGACCATTACAACAAAGCTGCTAGAGCTCTTTAATGATCTGATGTGTACATAATCGTGAGACCCGTCCGCCTCGTTACGCTTTTGCTGTCGTTTATTTGTCGTGATTTATTTACGAGCTCATATATCTTGAAGCTAATTTCCTTTTTCCATGCTCATCAAGACCCTAGTTAAGGTACAATATGAATGGTGTCGAGCTGGCCCTGCTTGCTACCTGTGCCATCGTTCTTCTCTCATGCTCCAATGCTTCTCCAGTGAACGATCAAAGTAAGTTACACTTTAGAGTAAATTGAAGCTCAAACACAATATCCATATTAGCGGGGTCTGGGAGCAATAGAACTGAATTATGAAACCACAGGTGTCATTTCGGCTGCTGAGTCGGACAAAAATGAGAATGAGCTGTTGAAAATGCCCTGAGGCTACATTTCGCTCCCGAGCAGCGTGCGATTATACAGCGGAGAAACACTGAGTGCGTGGACGAGAGATCAGACGACGAATAGCGAGAGATTACACTGAAGAGAGAGCGTTGTTTTTTTGGCTGCACTTCCAGTGCGCGTATTGGGTTCTTCATTAATCACAAACCGCTCTCCTCCTTACACGCACTTTTCGGGCAGTAGAAGTGCGAACAGCTTTTGGCGCGTAGGTACTGGATTCGGGCACTGTGCCTTCCAAGGAGTAGGACGTCGTCATACAGGTGGGCAAAAGAGCAGTGCAATCCCTTTCACCCCTTTCAGAATGGTTTGTCATGAGTCTCGCTTTATGATAGTAGTACTGGTGTAATCGTGGTATCGCTGCGTGCGAGGCGGACTTCAGGACAGGCACAGCGTTCGATGGGGATTCCCTATTGGGGGGGTCGTATTTGGCCGCAAAAAGGGGGGGTCGTATTTGGGTTGGGAAAAATTTATTTTTATAGTTGACGGACGTGTTGGAGGGGTGGCGCGTCGTATTTGGTTTCGTTGTTTCGCGGGTGGGGGCTCGTATCTTCGCTAGGAGTTAACGGTGGTATCACTTTCATGAGTTTTATGAATTTTCTGTGGTTATAGCGTTATATGTGCGCCCGTACGATGTACGTCGCATGCCTACTACATACCCCCCCCCCTCGACAACTTTTTCGCCGAGTATAAACCACAACCACAGTCAGCCATGTCAGCCATCGTACGAGCATGGGGGGTCGTACCAGCCCCTGAAAAAAGGGGGGTCGTAAAAGCTCGACCAAAATCCCCATCGAATGCTGTGCCCTGGACCTCAGGGCTGCGGCACATTACTGTGCGCAAGAGACAGAACTTTGTAAAAAAGAGCGGCACAGTTCTTCGAGGGAGAGAAAAGTGTTTGCCGCACACAACGGCTGCCACCAAACCCGTTTTGATCTTCTGAACCATCACGATCCCCACCTTTGCAACCAGTTGTCGTCATTTAGCAAAAGGTGACGTCACCTTTGTAGCAGTAAATGAAACTTAGCTCATGCCATCGACACAGTTTGCATTGAGGACTTCGCATCCACCCAGTCCGTCATCGAACTCCACCTCCGCGCCCCTGATTACCGGAACGGGTTGTCAAGGTTGATGGATCCTGCGCTAAATTCTACGTCAGCCATGCATGCCTGCAAGACATCCATCAGCCTCTGCTACTTCGCAAACGTTAGCAGTTCCACATTCCCACAAATTCCCGTTTGCTGCTTTTGGGACTCACTCAAAATCTCAGACTTTTCAGACGACAGATGCCGAAGCCTGCTTGACGCAGTTCCGTCGTATTCAAAGAAAAACGTTTGAGTACATTGCCTTCGCCTCCATAAGCACAACGGGTACTCAACATCTGATTGATGAGCTTGGCCAATGAACGGTTTGCCCGCTTATTCCCGCGAATCTCCCCAAACTATTGGCCTCTGGGATGGACAAAGACGGTAAGCGAAACGCACTGACTGGTGTCAGCGACTAGCGAAGGAGTCCAGAATGTTCTAGTCCAGGAAGCGTGAATCCTGCTAAAGATATAGTGGCAAGTGGCACCTTGTGCATTACCACCCTGTCGCTTAGTTATTTGGGACCAGACTCATCAGGGAGGAAGAAGACGCTGACTGTACTCTGGCTTAACCCCACAAGACATACAGGGCAAATGGAGTATAGAAAGTCATAGGGAAGCGAAAACGTGGCGGATCCTGACAAGGGATTGATAGACGTCAAGGGATCCATCTTTGTGTTTCCTGTCAGCCTGACAGTTATCATGCTTCGCGCTCTCCAGGCTTCACCTTCCTTGATTGCATTTGTGTACCTTACAGTGGGCACCACTTCCACCCGAATTCACACGGATTTCAGTTTATACGAATGAGTGGTATTCAGTTGGACTTTGCTTTGCCGAAGAAGTTGTCCGAAGGTTAAAAACAGCCAAAGCGGAGCTACAGTGTTGAACGAAAAACAAATCAGAATTCTTTTTTTTCAAAACTAACCTTCCCTCTCATCTAGGACGAGAAACCGCAGACCATCAGGAGACCCTTTAAAGGTCCTCTCGCTGAAGACCCCTCAACCTTCTTGTTAAGGTTTTCAACGTGGTGTCAGATACCGTTATTGGCTGTGTAAGCTTCAGAAGTTGGAACTTTTCCCACAGTAATATGGCGCTCAGCGAAAC